AACGTGGTCAGATTGTACGGCAGTCTCCGATTTCCGCATAAGTTTCGTTGTACCAGCTGTATAATTTGACCATGGAGAACGCCATACCGCAATCGCGTATACCTAATACCTTGTGTAATATGGCGTCTTCTTTGTTTATCTCCAGAAACGAAATCTGGCGATGTCTAGGGGGGGGGGGGGGCACTGTGTAGGCATAACACCTGCATCATTAGGGACTCCTCGGCTGATTAGGTTTGCCGAATAAGTGGAAAATTTAGCCTGGTACCCTGTCTCACCATTGCCGAGGCAGTGACGCAGAGTAAACGAAGCAAAACAGGGACAGGGAACCAGGCTATGCATAGGAATTTGTTAAAAGTTCTCTACTAAGAACAAATGTATTTTTGATAACTGCACAATAATAATTACAGTGCAGTTTATATTCACATTTAATTAATCAGATTATGAGTATAAATTGTTTCAACAGCGATTACAAGTAGGTACACTATATTTCAGAACGTCAGTTTAATTTGGCGACTATTGGGTCAACATCCTGCCTTGAACAGGAAGTTGAACAGGATCCCATAAGCCGGCTATTGCTCTTTGAGCAATAAGCCCGGCTAATGATGCCTTATGTACATGTACGTCACTAATAATTTAACGATATAAATTAAACCGTATGACTGCGCAACACCAAAAATTTAAAATAGCATAATTCCTTTGTTCATTGTACATGTATATGATTAGCCGGGCTTATTGCTCAAAGAGCAATTGCCGGCTTATGTGATCCTGTTCAAGGCAGGATGTTGACCCCATAGTCGCCATTTTAAAGTTACCTGCAAAAATATAGTTCTTACTCGCAACCGCTTTTGAGATAATAGAAACGCTAAATAAAGCAACAAAAATAAAACGAAGTTTTATCTATATAAAATAAACATTAGTAGTAATGGCTTTGAAAACTTCATAAGTCAAAGAACATAGTTCATTAGCGTAAGGACTTTTGATAATCAGTGTTACCGTAGTTCTCTACACATACGAGGTAAAACAGGAGAGGGAACCAGACTGGCCTGTTTGTTTACATTCAGCTGCGGTACCAGATTAGTTCTGATTCTGACAAAATCGGACCGTGGTATTAGGATTGAAAAACTCACTGTCAGTGTCTTATCATTTATATTTATATTTTAAAATAATTTTTTCATCAGAATATAAACGTGATTCATGTAAGAAATCCATTCTACTCTGTAAATGCGCCCGGCTCTCTGTACTTCTGAGTACTTTGATTTTATATTGTCGTTTAACATAAACTGATGAGCAAAACGTAATCAGACATAAATATATTTTTTATTGCTTTCAATAAAAAAAGTATGTGGTCATTTAAATCAAAATTACCATCCGATCCGGTTTGAAGGTATAAAGTTTTAATTAAATTTAAAGATACGATTTACAGTGATGAGTATTTTCAGTATTTCACACCAGACACATTCTATTAAGCAAACCAATTTCCCAGTTCATCAAACACATACAATGTATAAATCACTAGTATTTTCATAGTCCTAGGCCTGTGTTCAGTACGGCGCCATTCCGTACTGCTTTGGCGGTGGATTTGGTGGTGGGTATACAGCTCCGTTTGGTGGCGGGGGCGGCGGTGGGTACTGTCCTGGGGGGTAGGCGGGGTTACTTTCATAGGCTGGTGGTGGGGGCATATTATACATCCCACCTAAAAAAATTATAATAATATTTAAAAAATAAAGTAAAAAACGAATCAGAAAGCTTCAGGAACTAATACCTGTCTGTGGCTACCTGTAAGTTAAAATGTACAATGTATGCTTTATCCAAAAATTTCCGAGGGAAAATAAAGAAGTTTAAATACTTGTATGTTAAATCCAAAGTTATTAGTATAGAAAATTTTGCGTATTATTCGACGAAAATTTCACAGAAAAAAAATCTTCAACAATATTTTTGTTAACTCAACAAACTTTTGAAGAAGAGAAAAAACTGTTTTATTTCAAATTTCATTTATAATAGATTGCAAATTTAAAAAGTCCCTGGCTAAATATTCTCTTTCATCAATTAGTAAAATATCTGAGATAAAAATAAACAATGACGTCACCTGCTGGTGGTGGCGGTTGATGTACAGTGGTGACGGTGGTGCTTGGTGTAATATTAGTCACGCGTGTTCGATTCGCCGCTTGTTTCTTGCATATTACAATGATCACAAAAACCACAATTCCCGTACAAACGATAGCCCCAGCAATCGCTCCACCAATCACATCGTAGCCTCTGTTATAAAAATGTATCGAAATTTATGATTATTCTATATGGTTACTTTTTTCCATAGGAATTTTTAAAATATATTTTCTTGTAGATACATAATTTGAAAAAAGAATACATGTATCCGACATGAAATGGAAGTGTTTACTCACGTGGTATAGGTATAGTAGCAGTAGTAATAGGAATAATAGTAGGAATAGAAACAGTAGGAACCGGATACTGTTTGGAAAACTGGAAAACAGAAAAAAATCTATAAAAGCATATTTATCATAACCCAGCTTGACAAGAGGGGTATATCTGCCCATTCGTTTCTGTTTTTTTTTTTGTTTTTTTTTTACTATTTTTTATTGAATTGCCCCCCCCCCCCCCCCCCTTCATATTCTCTTCAAATTTTGTGCTTTGTAATGAGAAATACTGAGATAATGAACCGTATTCAAGCTCAAATGTCAATCAAAAATTACAAAAAAGGAGCGGAGCAATCAATCAGAGGTGGGATCAGATGCCATGGAGTAGTCAACATTCCCTGGGGACCGGTCACAATAAAAAATCACAAGTATCAAAAATCAAAAATAGTAAATCTGAATCCTGTCATTGTTGTCTTTAGCTTTTATGCAGCCTCGTTTTCTTTTTTAAAGTTTTTTTTGTGCTGTAAATGTTGAATTTACTAAGGGAGGGAGTGATTACAAAATTTAAAATATAGTGTATGATTAACAGTTAATTAAAATGTAGACATTGTCGCTAAATGTTTATTAAACGGACAAAATCATTTAGAAAGCTGAATGACCAGTGCACATTTATTTTTTCAAAGAAGAATTTATACTTGTCAAATTTGTATAGTGTGTGTCTATATTTGCATGACTGTATATTTTGCTTATATTGCTAGATAAAATGATGGAATGTCACTTCTAATAATTTAAGTTAGGAAAGTAACTTTTGTTAGCCCTATGTAATGCAAATTTCAATCCAAGATGTTTTATATATGAACACTCAAACGATATAACTATAGGACATGGACAAAAACATAGTTTATGTATAGATAATTTGAAATTCAAAGAAAAAATGGCCTTATACCAAAAGTTTTTTTTTACAGCTTATAAAGGATATGAATAGTTTATTTTGAAATAGAAATAAAAAAACTTACATGTACACAATAAAAAGGTGAGCAGCCAAATAATTGATACAGAAAAATTTCCAACTTCCATCATTTTTTTTAATTCCAATTCCACAGGGGAAAAAAACAATAATGAAGATGTCTAAAACTGATCAGCTGATTGTTTATCGATGTTCCATAGTTTCAAATTGTCCTTTTGTAAGTCACAAGGTAAAATTAAATCAAATGCGTAAAACAAACAATGACCATACCTCCAACTATATATGTAAAATGGACACCCTTTAAATTTCTATGTATTTTTCGGCTTAGTGTACCAAGAAGAAAAAACGCGAAATCTATATAAATTTAATAAGGTCATTTAAAACTGCCACACATGCTTTCTATCAAGAAAGTCATCTCAAAATATACGTTTGATATAGAAATTTCATTGGTTCAGAAATATCGGTACCAGTTGTATTTTGTCAAACTTTAAAAAAAACCAACATCTCCAAACAAATAGCTAGAAATGAACAATTTTGGCCAGGTAGATTAAAGTAGATATTTAATTAATTTTTCGCAATTTCTGGGGACATCACTCGTATAACTTAAAGTATATATCGTGTTCAATGTTAAATAAAATATGGTCATCTTTTTATTTATTTTTGGTCTATTGAAAGTAAGATGGCAAGCAGTGCATACTTCAGCTTTCTCGATGTCTACTATTTGATTCATAAAAAGCTCCATGCCTGTTGAAAAAAGTACGTAAGCTAAACACCAGTCCAAGGAAGAGTTCAGTCCAGAGCGAGCCGTGTTGTGGAATGGGTTGGTTGGGGGCGGGAAGGGGATGTGGTGGGGGACTTTTGTGTACTATGATATTCAGTAACTTTACAAATTGCCGACCTTTTAAAAATTTTTTTAATGGGTTAGGGTAATATTCTAGCTGCAGATATGTAGCTTGCTGGTCTGAGGAATTGGAGTAGTCGTTCATCCAATTCATTTTTTAAACCATGCAGCGCTACAGATATGCAACAATTGATATTTGGTATAAGGTCAGGTAAAAGTCGTGAGTGTTCAGAATCGAGGCATGATAGAGAATCCTCACTGCTCATGTAGACCCTGAAAACTACGATATGCAAAAGTTTGGTCTATCACAAATCAAAAAAGGCTTCGTATACGAACAAGTACTAATATTAATAAAATGAATATGTCAAACCATTTCTTATTCTATAGCATAGAAAATATACCGAAACAAACAAGTTTATTTATGCATAAACAATTTATTTAAACAATAAAATACATCTAAATGCAGGACAGTATCCATAAAACTTGTAATAAAAAATGAAGAAACCAAATCTTACATAGATATAAAAAATACCATGAACCTTTCAGAAATACTAGTATTTTCATACAATGTCATGAAATTTTCCCCCCTGAAATAATTTGAATTTAGGTAAAGTCGTCTTGACTGGTTGAAATTTGACATGAATTAATTTACTAGTAGATACATGTACCGGTATATGTTTGTACTGTACAATGTAAATCACTACATTTTTGTTCTCAATAACTATATGCTAATTGTTGTTAATCTTCACACGAACTGTGGATTAAAAAAAAACAATATATAATTCTTTAAAAACATTACAAATAAATACGAGATTATTTTTTTGCGAACAGACAGACAAAAATAAAGTAATCACGAATACAAAGTGATTTACAGTATTCAAGGATAGATATTAAGTTTTTTGATTTAGAATATAGAAATTCCAGAGATAAAGTAATTCACGAAGACGCAGCGCATCTTTGGCTGTTTCATTTAGTATTTAGTCGGAGGGTAAGCCGGAGGTGGATAACCAGCCCCGGGGCCAGGAGGGGGTGGATAGGTAGCTGGGGGAGGTGGGTACCCAGCATTAGGGTTGGGTGGCTGGGAAATTCCAGGACCACCGTATCCGTATCCAGCTGAAAAATTAAACCAATATTATCATTAAATTGATAACACATTTTGATAGGAGAAACAAGAACATTAATTATATTAAATATTATGTATTATTTTTTTTGAATAAAAAAAATACGTCTTGCAAATAAGGGGAAAATAATCAGTTGCTAAATAATAGCTCTTAGTTAATTTGTAAATGTTCTTAGAAGGAAATGTATGACGTCACCTGCTGGTGGTGGTGGTTGTGGTTGGTGTACGGTGGTGACGGTGGTGCTTGGTGTGGTGTTTATCACACGGGCTCGAGTCGCCGCTTGTTTCTTGCAAACTATAATGACCACTACCACAATCACTACAATAACAAAGATAGCCCCAACAATCGCTCCCGCAATCACCTCGGCACCTCTGTAACAAAAAATGCATTATTTCATAAGAAAAAAGTTACAGGGGCAATTTAACTGAGAGTTTCCTTAATGATATTGAGAATTGAAGAAACTGGAAGGATGGAAGGATTACTTATCTGAAAACAATCTCACACAAACATCCTCTCACACACCCTTGCTCCTTGCACCCACACGCACCCCCCCCCCCCCCACACACACACACACAGAGGGAGGAGAGAGAGAATAGAATATCTTATGTTGGGAATTTAAGCAATAATTAAAAAATCGAATAATGAAAGATATAAAGTTAATATGCAAATTCAAAGAATTGTGGTCCCCCGCTTTCGGTGTCTTTGTGGGTGGGATGTTATTTATTTTACGATATATTGTGTCTGATATGAACACTTTATCATATGTCATTTATTTAGAAATTATCATTGAAGGTTGTTATTATCTAAATAAGGTCAAACGTTAAAGTCAAGGGGTAAGAAATCATACATGTAGCATGCTTGGAATTATCTTGTCACAGGTAACGCACATGTCAAATATGAAAGCTCTATCTCTTCTCAATATAAGAAACAAAATGTGCTTGTGAAACACTGATGACCCCGTCTGGCAACATAACGAAGACAAAACTTTTCTTAAATGCAAATTAATATATTATTACCCAAGATAGGGTTTTTCTAACAATTAAGAAATACGACTGTGAAATACAAGATTCCTAGCACCACCTATTCAAAAGTTAAGGGTCGAGGATAATTTTTTAAAAGGTAGGTCAAACTCCGAGTTGAATTGGTCTGAGTTGTTGGTTTCTTAAGAAAGGTCTTGTCACGAGTAATTCATATGTGAAGGATGAAAACCCTAAGCGTTCAAAGGTTATGGCCAAGGTTAAAGTTTTTAAAAAGTAAATCAACTCCAAAGTCAGGGTCAATGGGTTAAAGTTTTTGGTATCCAATGAAAGGAATTTTCACAAGGATTACATAATTATGTAAAGTATAAAAGACAAAAGTTATGGTCAAGGTTAAAGTTTTTTTCTTAAGTAAAAAATTTCCAAGGTCAAGGTCAAAGTTGTTGGTATCTAAGGAAAGGTCTTGCTACAAAGAATACAAATGTGAAATACGAAAGTCCCAGTATCTACCATTCAAAAGTTGTGACCAAGGTAAAACTTACATATGTGTAGTATGAAAGCCCTAGTATTTACCATTCAAAACTTATGGTCAAGGTTAAAGTGTTTTCATAAGTACAAAAATCTCCAAGGTCAAGATCAATAGGTCAAGTTTGAAAAGGTTTTGCTACAAAGAATACATTGTGAAATATGAAAGTACTAGGACATACTTTTCAAAAGATATGTCCAAAATGAAGTTGTGGAATTTTTGTGTACAAGTAGGCCAAGGTCAAGGTAAAAGGGTCAAAATTGATAGTACCCAAAGAAAGGTCTTGTCACAAGGAATACTCAGGTGAAATATGAAAGTCATAGCTTCGACTAAATCAAACGTTATGGGCAAGGTTAAAGTTTTTGTGACTGACGGACAGCACGACAGACAGACGGACAGACGAATGAGATTTAATGTCCCCTCGGCTCGCGAAAGCGGGGGACAAAAAGTTAATGCTGGCGCAGTAGTATGCAAATCAAGAACATTTTAGGTAAGACAGCAAAAATAGTATCTTGTTTAAACGCTTGAAAAAATATTCCAATGAGTCGTCGTTAGAGATAGACTCCAATGATTTTTTACTTACAATGTACACTCTGTAATTTCATTTTCTATATCAATACTCACGTGGTATAGGTACTAGTATAAAGAGTTGTGCAGTAGTAATAGGCATAGTACGATGAATAATAACAGTAGGAACCAGACACGGTCTGAAAATCTGTGAAAAGGGAAAAGTTAAATTAATAAAGTTTATTCATTTCAAATGCAATGATATACATATATTTACTGGGATTGAGGACAAAATTGACTATGTTAGTCTCCAAAGGATAAAAATATTGCCCGACGCGGAGGAGAGGGCAATTTGTTTCTTTTTTCTTATTTTGAGGAGGCTAACATATTTAATGATGCCCGAAAACACAGTCAATAATTGTTTTGTTTTATAAAAACGAATCAACAGAATTAGAATATACTCTGAACTGTTCATCTAGTGCTAGCGATTTTTTTTTGTTATTCATATTCTGTTTTAACAAGTCGCGACAGTATCATGACGTCTTGTGTAAGAATCTAAATCAAAATTTAGTCGGATAAACAGTCAAAAACAAATAAAATTCCCCGTCAATATTTTTCGAAGGAGCTTATATCAACTTTGTTGACTTTTCTTTTTATAGAGAATATATGAACTATTCTCTACTGAATATCATTTATAATAACAATTTGAAAATTAACACACAAATTATCTGAAACTAGAGTGTTATAGTGCACATTGGAATTGCCTGTAAAAATGATTATCCTGGCTTTAAAATCCACTTTATCTAACAAGAAGCGTTGAGTGAAGAGAGGGTGAAAATTAAATTTGATTTGATATGAGTGCATTTTGTCTATTTATAAAATTTAAAGATTGGCAAGGCTATGATACGATTAAAGCAACATAGCGATTCTTAAAGGCTTGCTGTTCTTGAAAAGTATTAATATATGACCGCTATATTTATCTAGACAAGAGGCTGTGACACGGGATAGTGTTCGGCTGAGTATCTTAATGCCTGTTGTTCTCATTCAAATTTATATTTTGAATTAAATGTACCCCCTGCAGTTTTTTCCCATTCCAAGATTGACCTTGATATGGAAAATGATATTGGACATGATTTGAACTATTTCAGAATTTACGCTGCCTCAGAATTCTTTATTATACCTCTACTGTAATTTCTCTATATGAAATTAATATCATAAAACTGTCTATTTCCCCGAGAAGAAACTATTGCGCTCATCTGAAGACTACTCCCTGAAAAATCAGAGCTACTCCCTGGGACTACTCCCTCATGAATATTTATATTATGATTTAATTGTTTTAGGACACGATGCATTACTTATCATACAATGTGATAAACCGCATGCATTTGTAATCATGCATCTACAGTGTTTTTTTTTTAATGTCGGCATATTAGGTGAAAAAAAGTTAAATCGCCTACGATTGTTTCGGTATAATAAAACAGTTATGGAATGGGTAAGAGGGAAATGGCAAATTTATGGTTCCCCTCGGCAGGAAACTATTTCCCTCGGCGGCTTCTCCGCCTCGGGAAATAGTTTCCTCCGTCGGAAAACCATAAATTTGCCATTTCCCTCTTACCCGTTCCATAACTGTATACTGAGTACTATTGTACCACCTCCTTATCTTCTCCTCTGACCTAGGGGTTCTCGGGAAGAAGATTGTTACAGAATCTGTCCCTTGTATTTCAATGTAAACTTTCAAATACCTGTTTTGGACACACTCTTTCCATGGAGTTCATGATTTGAATAATTATAAGATGATGACATTGTCCTATGATGGTGTGATGAGAATATCAATTAAAATTTAAGTGATTTACATCAACAATCTACCATTAACGGTAAATAAGATGGACAAAAATATAGTGCAAACAACTTTAATATACCAATAAGCCTAATATTTCAAATTTATTTTAAAACTTATGAACGATACGAATAATTGAAAATTTAGTAATTAAAAAAAACTTACATGTACACAACAAGAAGATGAGCGATCCTACGCTTGATACAGATAGAATTTCCAATTTACCCATCTTTTACTCTTATTCCAATGTAATAGATTGGAAAAGATGATCAAAACTGATCGGTTGCTAGTTTGTAGGAATCCCAGTAATTGCAAAATTGTCCAACAGGAGGTCACAAGCAAAATTTAAATTCCAATGCGCAAGACAAATAATGACTATATCCCCAACCATATTTTTTTTGTGAAATGGACACGCTTTAAATTTCTTTGTGTATTTCGAATCAGTGTAACAATCAGCTAAAAGTAAAGTCTAACCCATAAGCGTATAAAATGTTTTTGAATTGCATGCATTTCTATGGAGAAATTTATCACAAAATATTAAACATTCATCCTAAGTACATAAAATATATATATATATATATATATATATATATATATATATATATATATATATATATATATATATATATATATATATATATATATATATATATATATATAATTAAAGATATTATTATAGATTTGTTGAATTCGTTATAACCAATTCAAGAATTTGGTTATAACGAATTCAACAAATCTGTAATAACAGATTAAATTCGTTATAACGAATTCAATAAATCTGTAATAACAATTAAATTCGTTATAACGAACTCAATAAATCTGTTATAACAAATTAAATTCGTTATAACGAATTCAATTAATCTGTTATAACAAATTAAATTAATTATAACGAATTCAATAAATCTTTAATAACAAATTAAATTCGTTTTAACGAATTCTAAGCATATGTAATAACAAATTAAATTCGTTTTAATGGATTCTAAAAATCGTTATAACGAATTTAAAAATATTTTTTGATGGATCCTAAATGGGCTTCCGTAATGGCCCTAAGTGCCGAGTATAGTACAAAATTTGTAGCTTTCCACCGGAAAGTGGTGGCGTCTACATGTGAGTGAAAAATTCTCGAGAGGGACGTTAAACAACATACAATCAATCAATCAATCGAATATTCAAAGGAGAAAATGTACATCTTCTACATATACAACTCCTGTAGTGGTATCTTCTTCACTAAACGTCTTACTTTTCTTGACAAAACAATATTACCTATCAGATTGATTACGGCTGAATTTCTTTGAACGACTCAGTATTATTTAGAGATTTTTTTTATCATCTTGATACACATCTGTAAATACACGTACTCAGGAAATACTGGAATTTTATTCTTTTATTGATATTAAATTGTGTTTTGGATTTTGAATATTGCAAAATATGTCAGTGGGTATTTTTAAATTTCTATTTAAACAGTTTTACACGATATGAACTTACTCTATTATTGTATAATACAAATTCGTAAGAAACAAGTTCTTACAACTTACAAGTTCATTATAATGACAATTGTATCTAACTGAATCACTGTAAATAACATTTGCAAGTGCCATTGATATCTTGAAATGTTTTTTTTTATATCTTCATTTTACAGGATACAATTTTACCAGGATACGTGTCTGCTTTAAATAAAATGAAAGTCATCATTAAAGGTTGCCGAAAGAATAGTTTTTATATTGATTGCAGTTTCATTGTTATCTGAACAAATATTTAAATATTAGCGAACAAAATCTCCATTTCTTCTGTTGTTAAGCAAACTGGGTTTACTCATTTGTAAGTAAATTTGAAGTCATTTGGAAACAACAATATGCTTGATTGAGTTTAAATCATTTAGAAACAACTATGTAGTACACGTAATTTGGAAATCATTTGATACCAATTTAAAATTAATTCACATAAATGTCAATATAATCCGACTGGTGATTCAAACTATCAAACAAAGAATTCTAAGTAAATTTCCAAATGCAGCTTGGAACTTCTACACACTGGTTATTCGCAAGTGTGAATAATGTTTGTGAAACTCTTCCTGGTTAAAGGATTATGTTTTTTAAGCCAGTCATGAACAACTGCAGTAAAGAGCCCCTAATACCTCGTACAACTACACATCTTCAATTTGCTTAGTAACAAAATAGCTAATACTGTAAACGTATTACATTTGGCTGTGTATTCTTTTTGCGGCTTTGGCGGATCGCAGCAACCGCTAAATCAAGTACATAGCTAAAAGTCTTGCACGTAAATACATAGATATAAATAAGAAGAAATGCATTAAATCAAATCTACGCTAACTTATTCAAAAGTCAATTACCGCCAAATATCGTACACGCTAAATATAATACATTTACAGTATAAAACCCGTATTTTAATAAGGATGTTGTCCAGATAAAGAACAGAGAGAATTTTTAAATAATTCAATTAAATATCTTTTAATTTAGTGTCATGAAAACCATTTAGGTATGTAAACTTTTTGAAAATCATTTGGAGGTTGGGGACAAAACAATAATATCGTTGGCAGTTCTTTTTTATTGTAATGAAAAGTATTGTTTCGAACCTTTTAAATGTGTAAAGGCCGGTATACAGGATAAGATTTGTAGTATAATACAAGTATTATAAGCAGAGCTTATTGTTATCTTTTTTATTATTTTGACAGAGAGAGAAATATGGCAGGAAAAACACGAGGGAATAATAGTGTATTTACAATCTTATAAGATATGTATTAGCGTGTGTACAAGAAAGTATTATAATACAAAAGTATTATAATACTTGTATTATACTACAAATCATATCGTGTATACCGGCCTTTAACACTTCGAAAGAAGACTTTTCATTAAATAAGAAAAAACAGATCTTCTACGTGTATCATTTATTTGTTACCATTTTGCACCTAAAACGAAAGCCCTTTATCCGCCTAACTCCAAGATTATATACTTAGTCGCAATTTTAATAGATTCAAACGTTTTAACTTTAAAGAAAACCATCAAGATTGTCATGGACAAGTACTAGTATATTTAAGATTAAACTTTTTCAGCGTACAGAAGTTTTATTAGTTCTATTCGATAGAGCTAAACAAACAGAAGAATTGAGGTTGAAAATATAATTATACTCCGGATAATTATGATTTCAGCAAAACATCTTCACTTCTTTCTAGATAGAGTGCAACTCCACCCATGAACACTCTACCCTCAATCCCCACAACAAAGGCATGCGAATGATAGATACTTTACAAGAAATCAATAAAGTGTCTTACAATAAAGGATTTTCAATATTATTAAAAAATGGAAAGTCCTTCTTTATTTCTATAACAGAAAAGGCAATTTAAAATGTAACAAGA